GACTGAGCGTTTTGATTGGACGAACATTTCTTGGTCCTACGCCTTCCACAGAATATATAAATACTGATAAATACATTTAGACCACTTAACTTAATGATTGCTTTCAGGATGTGAAGAGACTTTCAACCAGCATAACAAAAAAGATTTCTGAAGACGATCACCTATTGCACCTTTAAATAAACATGCAAATACCAGTAATTTGACGAGCGCAAATGTTAGTAATTCACATTGCATACATTTTTTTATTTTAATACTCTCCTCCCATAAATTTTACATCTGAAAGGGAAACTCCTACAAATGCATATTAAATAAGGTCAGATTCAGTGCTAATTCTTCACTGCGTGTCTTTAAATCGCCAGTAAATCCTGACTACTATTTTAATGCCAATTGACGGTTTGTGCTTGTGCAAGCTGTTAGTAAATCTGTCCCTTAGTGTCTTTGTTGTTTTTGTGATGTGTCTCTTAGATGAAACCTGCTGTCTGCGGTGTGTCAAAAGAGTTAGTCTGTCCATTAAAAACAGAGTGACCAGTTACAGAAAACAAGGCCTGGATGGAGGCTGCAACCTCCCAGCTGTTGTGTAAGTAACATCTGTCTGTCTGTAGATTTAGAACTATTAAAGTGGTTTGAAACTTGTACATACAGGCATGTATGAATCAAATCTAGCTGTTACAGGGAAATTTAAAGTAATGTAAAGATATTATGCTTCCCAGAATAAGTTTCATTATTATTATTATTATTATTTTTTTTATCAACTGTATGATTATAGGAGACACACACACACACACACATCCACCATTTCTATTTGAATTGTAGCTATCCAAAACCAGTTTTAGGATAAAAAAAATATTAAGAATATCGATCTGTCTGTTTTTTTCTAATGAAGTTGATAACTTGTTGAACACTGATGGATTACTTAGCCTGGGTGAGTTGACTTCTTACTACAACGACCAGTTGCAGAATGTTTTAGATGTTGTTGCACCTGTCAGAACTGGGACTGTCTCATTTGCTCATACTGCTCCATGGTATACTCCTGAGTTACGTCAGTTAAAAGCAAAGGGGCGTCAACTTGAGCGTTTATATATGAGATCTGGTTTAATTGTACACAAGGAAATGTATGATCACCATATTAGAGACTACAAAGAAGCCCTTTCTACTGCTAAAACAAATTATTATGCCAATTTGATCAACTCTGGTGGTGGGAATACAAAAATATTGTTCTCTACAATGAATAATATTTTGAGACCACCAGATGTTTTTTCATAACATTCACATTCTAATACTATATGTGATACTTTTATGACTTATTTTAGTGATAAAATTGAAACTATTCATAAGAATTTAACTCACAATAATGGGGCATGTGGTTCATTCTTCTCTTTTCAGGATGTTTCCACTTTAATTGCTTTTTCTAGTTTTTATTTGCCTATGGCTAATGAAATATTGGAATGTGTCCAAAAATCTAAACCTACTACCTGTCAGTTAGACCCTATTCCCTCACATCTTGTTAAGTTTTGTTTACCTTCCTTGTTACCACTGATAACTCAAATCATACACTCTTCTATTATCACTGGTACTATTCCTTCATCCTTCAAAGTAGCAGCTATAACTCCCATACTTAAGAAACCTGGTGCGGATCATAATAACCCAGAAAACTTTCGACCCATTTCTAATTTACCTTTTCTTTCTAAATTACTGGAAAAAATTGTTGCTCAGCAGGTACATGCTCATTTAATGGAGAATAACTTGTTTGAGCAATTTCAGTCTGCCTATCGTCCATATCATAGCACGGAGACAGCACTTATTAAAGTCAGAAATGATTTGTTAATGGCTGCGGATTCTGGACTTTTATCAATACTCATTCTTCTCGATTTAACTGCAGCTTTTGACACTATCTCACATAGTATTTTATTGGAGAGGTTGATTTCTATTGGAATCACTGGTATCCCCCTTGATTGGTTTAAATCATATTTATCTGGTCGGACTCAGTTCGTTCAGATAAAAAAATTTAAATCGCGGATATCTCAGATAATCAGTGGTGTGCCTCAAGGCTCAGTTTTGGGCCCTCTTCTGTTCAGTGTTTATTTATTGCCTCTAGGACAGATTTTCCGTAAATTTAATATAAACTTTCACTGTTACGCAGATGACAGCCAGCTCTATATGTCTTCGAAGCCTAATTCAGTATTACCGTCTTCCTCCCTTTTGCTTTGTCTTTCAGAAATTAAATCATGGTTTACATGCAATTTTCTCAAAGTTAATGATGAGAAGATTGAAATCTTATTAGTAGGTACTAAATCAAAACTGCATAACCATGGAAGTTTTACACTTACTATCGACAATTCTGTTATTTCTCATTCTTCTCAGGTTAAGAGTCTGGGTGTCATCCTTGACAGCACTCTGTCTTTTGAGGCACATGTAAATAATATTACACGGTCAGCATATTACTATCTGCGAAATATCAATCGTCTTCGACCATCTCTTTCTGCTAATGGTACTGCTGTCCTTGTGCATGCATTAGTTAGGTCTCAAATTGATTACTGTAATTCTCAGTGGCGTTTCACAGAAACGTATTCATAAACTTCAGAGATGGTTCAGAATTCAGCGGCTCGGATCATTACACGAACACCGTTGAATGAGCATATTACTCCAGTTTTAAGGCACCTGCATTGGCTTCCAATTAGATATCGAATTCAATTTAAGATTTTACTTTTCACTTATAAGGCTGTTCACAATCTAGCACCTTCATATCTGAGTGAACATCTTCATGTGTATTCACCTACCCGATCTCTCAGGTCTTCTGCTTCTGTGACTCTTGTTGTACCATCTGTTTGTTTGACTACCATGGGAAGTATAGCCTTTAGTTGCATTGGTATTGCTTTTCTTTGTATTATGGTTTATTGTGTTGTATTGTTTTTTTTTTTTTTCTTCTGTTTTAATTATGTATTTTATTATTGTAAGGTGTCCTTGAGTGTCTTGAAAGGCACCCATAAATAAAATGAATTATTATTATTAGATAATATAATCTGTAATAAATAGCTTATCTGAAATTAGAATTTGACCCCACAGTATGGAAAAACTTCAAAGTGTCAATTATGAATTTGTTTTATTTTTCATAAGAATTTGAATGATACTCATATTCATGCTTCCATATCTTCCATATGGGAAGTGTTTCCAATAAATGTTTACACACAGAGTGTCTGTCTTTGAAATAATTAATAGATAAATGTATTGGCATCACTGGAGAGGAATAGAGAAACAGTACACACACTGATGCAATAAAATGTGTTAAACTGTAGTGAATATAAGAAGCTCTATACTGTATAAGAATCTGTCAGACATCACAGTTAATAATGGTTAATGCAATTGTCTCTTGACAGATTCACATTGGACAATGACCATGAGTTCTGTGCTGATCCCAATGAAACATGGGTCCAGGAACTCATTCGGAGGGTGAACAGACTGCCAGATTTGTGGTCTGTGTGGCCTTGGGTGCCTGAAATGTCTCAAACATCTGAAATGCCTAAGACTTCTGTAATGCCTCAGAGACCTGAAATGGCTCGAACGTCTGAAATGCCTTGAACACCTGAAATGCCTGAAAATCCTGGAGGACCTGGAACACTTGAAATGTCTGAAGTGCCTCGGACACCTGGAATGCCTGGAATGTCTGGAATGTCTGAAATGCCTGAAATGCCTCAAACATCTGAAATGCCTCAGACTTCTGAGATGCCACAAAAACCTAAAATGCCTGATATGCATCAAACACCTGAAATGCCTCAAACGTCTGAAATGCCTCATACTCCTAAAATGCCTCAAATGTCTGAAATGCCTCAGACTTCTGAAATGCCACAAATACCTAAAATGCCTGATATGCATCAAACACCAGAAATGCCTCAAACGTCTGAAATGCCTCATACTTCGGAAATTCCTCAAACGTCTGAAATTCCTCAAACATCTGAAATGCCACAAACACCTGAAATGCCTGATATGCATCAAACACCTGAAATACCTGAAAAGCCTGGAACACCTCAAATGTCTGAAATGCCTCAAACATCTGAAATGCCTCATACTCCTGAAATGCCTCAAACGTCTGAAATGCCTCATACTCCTGACATGCCCCAAACACCTGAAATGCCCCAAACGTCTGAAATGCCTCATACTCCTGAAATGCCTCAAATTGTTGAAATGCCCCATACACCTGAAATGCCTCAACTGTCTGAAATGCCTCATACTCCTGAAATGCCTCAAACGTCTGAAATGCCTCATACTCCTGAAATGCCTCAAACGTCTGAAATGCCTCATACTCCTGAAATGCCTCAAACGTCTGAAATGCCTCATACTCCTGAAATGCCTCAAACGTCTGAAATGCCTCATACTCCTGAAATGCCTCAAACGTCTGAAATGCCTCATACTCCTGAAATGCCTCAAACGTCTGAAATGCCTCATACTCCTGAAATGCCTCAAACATCTGAAATGTCTCAAACGTCTGAAATGCCTCAAACGTCTGAAATGCCTCATACTCCTGAAATGCCTCAAACATCTGAAATGTCTCAAACGTCTGAAATGCCTCAAACGTCTGAAATGCCTCATACTCCTGAAATGCCTCAAACATCTGAAATGTCTCAAACGTCTGAAATGCCTCAAACGTCTGAAATGCCTCATACTCCTGAAATGCCTCAAACATCTGAAATGTCTCAAACGTCTGAAATGCCTCAAACGTCTGAAATGCCTCATACTCCTAAAATGCCTCAAATGTCTGAAATGCCTCAGACTTCTGAAATGCCACAAATACCTAAAATGCCTGATATGCATCAAACACCAGAAATGCCTCAAACGTCTGAAATGCCTCATACTTCGGAAATTCCTCAAACGTCTGAAATTCCTCAAACATCTGAAATGCCACAAACACCTGAAATGCCTGATATGCATCAAACACCTGAAATACCTGAAAAGCCTGGAACACCTCAAATGTCTGAAATGCCTCAAACATCTGAAATGCCTCATACTCCTGAAATGCGTGAAATGTCTGAAATGCCTCATACTCCTGAAATGCCTCAAATGTCTGAAATGCCTCAAACGTCTAAAATGCCTCATACTCCTGAAATGCCTCAAACGTCTGAAATGCCTCATACTCCTGAAATGCCTCAAACGTCTGAAATGCCTCAAACATCTGAAATGTCTCAAACATCTGAAATGCCTCATACTCCTGAAATGCCTCAAACGTCTGAAATGCCTCATACTCCTGACATGCCCCAAACACCTGAAATGCCCCAAACGTCTGAAATGCCTCATACTCCTGAAATGCCTCAAATTGTTGAAATGCCCCATACACCTGAAATGCCTCAACTGTCTGAAATGCCTCATACTCCTGAAATGCCTCAAACGTCTGAAATGCCTCAAACACCTGAAATGCCTCAAACATCTGAAATGCCTCAAACGTCTGAAATGCCTCATACTCCTGAAATGCCTCAAATGTTTGAAATGTAACATACTCCTGAAACGCCTCGAGCATCTGAAATGCCTCAAAAGTCTGAAATGCCTCATACTCCTGAAAGGCCTCATACCCCTGAAATGCCACAAACGTCTGAAATGCCTCAAATACCTGAAATGCCTCAAACGTCTGAAATGCCTCATACTCCTGAAATGCCTCAAATGTCTGAAATGCCTCAGACTTCTGAAATGCCACAAATACCTAAAATGCCTGATATGCATCAAACACCAGAAATGCCTCAAACGTCTGAAATGCCTCATACTCCTAAAATGCCTCAAATGTCTGAAATGCCTCAGACTTCTGAAATGCCACAAATACCTAAAATGCCTGATATGCATCAAACACCAGAAATGCCTCAAACGTCTGAAATGCCTCATACTTCGGAAATTCCTCAAACGTCTGAAATTCCTCAAACATCTGAAATGCCACAAACACCTGAAATGCCTGATATGCATCAAACACCTGAAATACCTGAAAAGCCTGGAACACCTCAAATGTCTGAAATGCCTCAAACATCTGAAATGCCTCATACTCCTGAAATGCCTCAAACGTCTGAAATGCCTCAAACATCTGAAATGCCTCATACTCCTGAAATGCCTCAAACGTCTGAAATGCCTCATACTCCTAAAATGCCTCAAATGTCTGAAATGCCTCAGACTTCTGAAATGCCACAAATACCTAAAATGCCTGATATGCATCAAACACCTGAAATGCCTCAAACGTCTGAAATGCCTCATACTCCTGAAATGCCTCAAACGTCTGAAATGCCTCATACTCCTGAAATGCCTCAAACGTCTGAAATGCCTCATACTCCTGAAATGCCTCAAACGTCTGAAATGCCTCATACTCCTGAAATGCCTCAAACGTCTGAAATGCCTCATACTCCTGAAATGCCTCAAACGTCTGAAATGCCTCAAACGTCTGAAATGCCTCATACTCCTGAAATGCCTCATACACCTGAAATGCCTCACACTCCTGAAATGCCTCACACTCCTGAAATGCCTCAAACATTTGAAATGCCACAAACTTCTGAAATCCCTCAAACATCTGAAATGCCACAAATGTCTGAAAGGCCACAAATGTCTGAAAGGCCACAAACTTCTGAAATGCCACAAAAACCTGAAATGCCTCAAACGTCTGAAATGCCTGAAACATCTGAAATGCCTCATACTCCTGAAATGCCTCAAACGTCTGAAATGCCTCAAACATCTGAAATGCCTCATACTCCTGAAATGCCCCATACTTCTAAAATGCCTCAAACACCTAACACCTGAAGAACGTCTGAAATGCATCATACTCCTGATATACCTGAAATGCATCAAACACCTGAAATTTGAAATTTTCCTCGAACGCCTGAAATGCCTTATACTTCTGAAATGCCTCGAGCCTGTGAAATGCCTCGAATGCCTGAAATGCATCAAACGTTTGAAATGCCTTGGACACCTGAAATGCCTCAAACGCCTGAAATCCATGAAATTACTAGAAAGCCTGAAATTCCTCGACCACCAGAAAGGTTTCCAACGCCTGAAAAGGCACAAGGTAAACACCACATGTGATGATGCTGCAGCTATTGTAGGCTACATTATGCAGAAAATTATTAAATAAATCACATTGTTTAAGTTTACAAAACATACTGGAACATACTGGGCAATCAAATAGTTTTTTGGCATAAGTTAAAACAAAAACTAATATACATAAAAAAACGTATATTTGAAGTAAAATAAACTTTAACTGAAATAAGTGATTAACTGAAAAATGTAACATTTTATTTAATCATTCTCATTTTCATTTAGTTTAACTTGATGTATCAAAATAACTAAAACTAAGGTGAAATAAATTAAAAACGATATAGACATTTTACAAAAATAAGTAAATAATAAAAAAACTACATTC